GAGGAAAAGGCGTGCTCAAAGCCTCATCCCAATTTGGAGTCACTCAAGACATCCTTGATTAAGGCAGCCGCCGATATTGACATGGACCTCGTTCGTGCTGCGATAGACGACTGGCCGCGCAGATTGAAGGCCTGTATTCAAAATCACGGAGGTCATTTTGAATAAACTTTAGTGTCATAAGAATCTATGTTTTGTTAAGTTCATTTTGGTATATGAATGGTTACATAATGAATAAACTTGTTTCAATTATTTTACATTAAACATGTGACAGAATTTATGACCTGACTAGGTATATGTATAAAATGTTTTTTGTTTGGGTAACAAAAATAGATAATTTATTTCTTTAACTCACCGTAACAACAAATGTGGCCAACAGGAAAATAAATCTAAACCAAGTCTCCATTTGCGTGAACGCTGGGTTGTACATTTTAAACTGAAAAATACGTAATTCAAATTGTATCGTTTATTTTCAAGGTGTCGACATTAAAAAACAACTTTGATACTAGATCGAGGCCTTTGGTTTTTTTACCGCTAAGTCTCAAGGCTTAAGTTAAGCTATCATTGCGATATACCTACTGTGAGCTTCGAGAAGGTTAATGATATTGGGTCACTTAGCAATTACGCTAAATGCCCTTTCGGTAAATTATATTAATTTGCTGAAACCCTCAACTATAGTTAAAACTAGTTTTAAGGATTTGCTTTTATTATTCCCGACGAATATTTTAAAAGTTTCTAATTATGCCTACGACTCGTCAAAACAGAGGCTCTCAAAGTTGTATGTAACTTGAACACTTTTTATTCCGTTGTCGTACCACCCTTGTCAGAGCGGTCGTGGTCCGTCATTCATTATCATTGCTGTGGGCAGATGTTAAATGCCTCACGAGCAATCCCCACTTCTTTCGGTTTGTGGTGAGCCTGGTACTCATGCAACTGCCAATTTGACTTGGTGGGTCCATCACATGGGCAACCTTCCACGCGGTCTGGTGCCTTCCACGAAACGACGAGGCGCTCTATGACTCCATTTTTTATAATGGTTCGTTTTCCGTCGCACGTCGATCGGGACAACTTTGAGTATCGCTGGCGTACGTACATAGAACACAATCTCCCTCATGTAGTAACGTTTGTGGAACTCCCCGAGCCCGTAGAAGCGAATGTTCAGTATGTAGTGAGTGTACTCGAGCGAGGCCAGGTGCAACACCATAACTTCCTCGCACAGCTGCTTGTGGCATTTCAGATGTTGTGTCCTACAATGTTTATTTAATAATCAATTAACATATCGCGCTAATGGCTATAGCGATAACAAAATAAGTAGCTGTCATTTTTCGTTTTAAATGAAGTCATCTTGTAAGTACCCACAGTGAAATGTGTTCGCTCGTGTTTGCGGTTACCGGGAAATAACAAGATTTATCAAGTTAGCCCTTTTACTTCCATGTAGGTCACCGGTGTCCTACGCGTAGCACCGAAGTAGTTATCTCGACATCTGTTACTAAGCGCCTGGATTGCCTTCTTTTGTTTATTAATGTACGTTTTAGTCTCTTAGGTCTCTTAAATTTTTTTAGTATCTTAGTATTCTTAGTATCTTCAGATAAGTCTTTCCCAGTCTACTAGATATTCCGGCGTCTTAGTAACAGAAATCTACACAAATACTTCAGGGCGCCACGCAAGGCACCGGTGATATACATGACAGTCAAAGGGTTATGGCACTAATTAAAAAGTTCTGCTATCAGAATTTTATTATGCTGATTATTTTCTAGTTAGCCCTGTCAAGACCGAGATTTCAAATACTTACGTATTCGTGGATTCGTTTTCTGGGAGTAAGTTGATGGTGGAATGGTCGGCGCGAACGCCGTCTATAGATATACTAATCTGGAAGCTCTTGTCGAATATTTCCTCTGAAAAAAATTAAGCGTATAGTCGTATCGGCGCAGTTTTTGAATGTTGAATTGGGAGTTACATATTCAGACACAAAATTGTGACTTTGATTATGTTCAAAAGTGGTTAATGACAATTCACGTCGCAATGCTTAGGGGCTTCGGAAAGTGTTTGAGAGCCACTGGGCCGAACGTCCGCTACACGCTGAGTCGACGCGAATCAAAACGATCAGTGCATGTGAAAGTTTTTAGGTACTGACCAATGCGTGGCCGAAATAAATTTGTGAGTTAATGAAAATTTTGATCAATGTAAAATGAATGGAATAAAACGGGCGGACGATTTCTTTTGTTTGCTTATAATGTGTGTTGTTTGCATGACCAGCTTGTACCATGTTGTTGTACCAGGCTCACCACAAAGCGGGAGAAGTGGCGATTACTCGTTAGGCGCACAACATCTGCCCACAACAATAATACTGACTGACGACCACGACCGCTCTGACAAGGGTCATACGACAAAGGACATATGAACATATATAGAACGCTAAAAAAACGAGTTCCATACTTACTCAATAGTTTACCCGAGGACATAAGACGTGAGCCTATACTTGCTAAATTTAAAAGTTTATTAAAAAAACACGCTTGTTAAATACGTTGTAGCCATTTACGTAGGTAAATTAATTGTATTAATATAACCTAATTTAATAATTTATAGGCTATGTTCATATAAAGCGAGTTAGTTATCTGCAGTCAAACTGCGTAACCAGTTTTGCGGGGCGTGGTTTATATGAAAGTGTAACTTTTTTTTTATTGCTTAGATGGTTGGATGAGCTCACAGCCCACCTGGTGTGGTTACTGGAACCCATAGATATTTACGACGTAAATGCGCCACCCACCTTGAGATATAAGTTCTAAGATCTCAGTATAGTTACTTACTTTTTATGAATAAATATATTACATACATACATACATACCATCATTATTCTCCGTGAGTATTTCGGCGAACAGCCACAGCTGCTGCACTCTGGTGCCCAGGGCTGGGCTGTGGAGGTGGAAGGGTCCCTGGTATATCATGCTGCCGTTATCCAGCACACTGCTCGCTGTTATTGACGTAGTCAGCGTAGGCGAGGGCCCTGTTGACAATTGTTACTGGCCTTCACTAAACAGAAATGAGTGAGTGGTTTTTGTTGTTCTTTTATTATTTACTAGCGACCCGCCCTTGTTTCGCTTCGGAAACATGAAATTTTATTATTGATAGCGGAGTCCCGCGATGTTACGCGGTTATTGTCGTACCGCGGGTGACGCCGTGGGGCGAAGTTATTCTAAAAAAAGTAGCCTAAGTTATTCCTTATATCATCAGCTATCAGTGAAAGTCTCGTGAAAACCGGTCCAGCCGTTCCAGAGATTAGAGCAGAGATATCGTTGAACTGAAAAAAAATGCAAGTTCTTTACGTGCTTATATTTAATATCTAATTTACCTGCCAGTCCTATGAAAACTCCGAGACCGAAGCAAGCAAAAAATGCTATAAAAACCATCACGAATTCCCCTTTGTGCATTGAATATATCCTCATTTGAACCGACCTTAAAATGTAAAACAATATTTAGCACTGCGGAATCAAGAAAGGTACCATTATTTGGCAAAGGCATTGTCGATGTTAGTCTAAGGGACTATTCCGGCTACTCTTGGACTGGCGGATGATTTCACGGGGCTCAGCCTGAGAGAATTTGCCGACACTGGCCATAGCAAGAGCAGTGCTTCACAGAATCTACCACCGGATCGGAATCGCGACTCAGTCAGAAGATCCGGCGAGAAACTCAGTGAGTTGTGTCTATGGGATAGTTCGCTCGTCGAACTCTTCGCAGTATTCCACGAGTTCAATGAGGACGGTGACCGGTGCTTGAAGAGCTTAAAAGCACCAAGAGTCCATACTTGGTGTTAACTATAACAACGATTTTAATGGATTAAACAACCCCAATTACGTATCTTTGAAATTATTCTGCTTCTTTACATTTAGAATGCTTGGCCTTTGTGAAGAGCATATTAAAATATAATATGTTTGGCGAAAAATGTTTTTGGCGTTTGTACATTTATTACGGAAAAAAATGTTTTAAGATTTGAGTGAAATAAGACTATGTTTATATAGTGCCTTTTAGATATATATGTATATATCTTTTATTTCATTGCGAATTTTCTTCCTTACTCAATCAGAAGTTTTACGTACCTTTCACACCTGTCATGGTGATATGCCGGAGCTATATATTTGTTGAATTCACTGAACAAGTCGCTGAATTGCGAAAGCGTATTGCGTATTTTGTAATTCCATCCACCGGACGGCAAATGATAGGAATAACCGACATTATTAGAATCCATTTTACAAAATGTTAAATTAACGTTATATAAAGACACGAAACATGAATAATAATAACACGTAAATTGTAACAAATAAGCTATGCCCTACATGCGGCTTGTTTACAAGCGCGGTATCGATTTTCGCGCGAGGGTAGCCATTTTCCAGACATGGCGCTATCTGCGTTAAATGAAACGTTGTTTTCACAACATAATTAAAATTATTTTCGTATGTACACCCTTAGGTTTGTTTTATGAAGGTACAGATTATTCATTCTTCGAGGAATATCATATAAGTGCATACATAATAATGTAGATGTCTATGGGCTCCAGTAACCACTTAACACCAGGTGGGCTATGAGCTCGTCCACGCATCTAAGCAATAAAAAAAAAAATCTAGGTACTATTTTCTGGCCCCAGTATTTAGATGTGACCCAATTTATAAAATTCAAAAATGCTAAAGGCACAGCTAAGCCGCTGTTTATAGTAACGTACCTACTTGATTTTATTTAATTCATTATTCCCTATAATTCCAATGTACCTAATAAAGAAGCCGTCTAACTGTAAACCTTTATAGACTTAATAAAAGTTAAATTGGATGAATTAATTTACTTAGTTAATTAGTCATTAACATAATTAGTTAAATGAATTATTTTATTACAAAACATTTTTTCAGGACAAGATAGAAAGCGTAAAGAATTTTTAGAATAGTAACAATTTCTACTCGCGCAAGGTTTAAAATAAAAGTTACGATTTATACAACATTAATAATTGAGATCCTTAAGTGTGCTTAGTGCAAGATTTTTAATCTCTGGATCGCGTAAAAGTTAATTCAAATTTGTAAAGAGTTGAACAACGCCCCTAGGTTTCCTACGAAAGCACACTGTAAGAACACGTATCTTTTCCACCTAAGTGAAGACTTGTTACAATAACAATGGTCATTCGTACTTAGGAACGCCGTGGGTCGGAAATTGACAATATCAGGGGTAAGGTTAAAATAAGGAACAGATGTTTTACTGTAAACTTCAATGACGCGGTAAATTAAATTAATAAATTGTAAGGGCATGTTCAATGCGGATTTTGAATTAAAAACAGTATAAGAATTTAAAACTTATTAATTTTTTTCCTACCTACGCCGAAAGTTTGGTTTTCGTCCCGCTGTACAGGGAAGAAAGTCTAACTTTTCCTCCCTGGGTACTGACAAGTGCGCATGCGCGTTAGTGTCTACGTCTGCTCTCACGCACCTAAAATTCTCCGCCATTGTTGTGCTCGGGTTATTTGTAATAATGTGTTTAGTGTAAAAGTGAAATAAACAAATAAAAATTAATAGTGAAGTATTAAACAAAGATGAGTTCATCAGACAGTTCTTATTAAATTAGCAGTAGTTTATTTAAAAATAAAAAAACAGTAAAATTGTTTTTTTAATGGGAGGAGGGCTCCCCCCCCCCCATACCTCCCGTCAGGCCTTCGCCCCTGGACCCCGGCTCGGTACTCCACAGGTGCTAAGTTTTTTACAATGTCAAACTTTCGGCCTGGTAGAAGAAAAAATAGTATGTGCACCGCAGGAAAAAGTAGGACATCTCATCCAGCGTGTTTGCCACCCTCGCCTTCGGCTCACAATGTACTATTGTTGCTTAAAAAAGAGAATGTGGTAGTTTTCCAATTACAGCACAAGAGCGCATTATGCGGCATAATGCGCAACGTTGAATGTTCTAACTACAGCAACGCTTCGCACAATCGAGCACTCTCAAAAGTACTGCTCTCGCGTGATACTCGCAATCGATACCGACTCAGTGACAGAAAATTGACAAGTGTTTTTTTCTTTAAGTTGGCATTGATCGAAATTTTGTTTATATTATCGTTAGTAATATTATTTAATGTTGAAAAAAAAAAAAAAAAAAAAAAATTGTAAAGCTTTCGTTTCGTCGTAGTTTCTTAGAAATAATCAATGTTAATTAAAACTGTGCTAACTTAGTGCACTCTGCTGATGCATTTGAAAACTAATTCACGTTCCAATTAAGCTTCAGCATAATTCGGCATTGTGCGTCACTGAGTTGCATTATGCTCTGTAATTGGAAAACTACCACTGTGTGTTTAAGTCGCGCCAATAAAGAAACGAATCTAAAATGTCGGCGGCGATCATGCGCTCTCACTCTAAACTATTGCTGTCTTTAGTCGCACACGGCTCGTACTGCATGCAAAAAAAATATCAGTTCTGAATTTGTTGTTGAGTTCGAGTTTTTTTACTTTCGAGTTGTGCGACTTAGATGACTGGCAGCAAGTGTCTACGCAAGTTGCATCCCAGATAAGACACCCCCCCCTCTGCCAGGGCATAAAGTAAAGTATGTACATTCTCATTTGTTTTTTATATTTTCTTACAATAAACAATTTTTTTTCTATCTTTCTTTTTATTTGTTGACCCTACCATCTGTCAGTGCTGGTACATAGACGCCATTTTCGATTCGTTTCTTTATTGGCGCGGCATATACCTATGTATTTTCACCTGAAACTCTAGAACCGTTAGCCCAATTGTTATGAAACCGCATAGGTACATATAAAGGGTGACATGACCACTCCGAAGAACAGTTATGTTAGTGCCGGAATGGTGGCGTTGGCGGCAGGGATTTGTAAATTGCAAAATTATTGCTTTCTGCGTGGTATATGTCACGTGATCCTGCGTTGGTAAAACGACAGGTTCATTTGTTTTTACTGAAGATGGCAAAACTAAAAATATTTAATACTCGAGTGAGTGCCTTAGAATAATAAATTCCATAAACAATAAATAAAACAATCTTTTTTTTTTATTTACGTTTTCAAATGGTCGAAGTTTTTAGGCGAAGCGAAACGCACCCGACACCAACTATTTTGTTATAAAAGTGCTCATTATTTTGTAAAAATTAAATATTCGACAAAGTTACTCTGTACGGTTGTCGCCACACAGCCGGAGAAGGAATTTTGATTAATAAAGACAAAATTATTTTCAATACTTTAGTCGTCTTGGGTTGAATTATAAATGTCTTTGCAAACACAAAAGGGCACAACCAAAGTTTTTATTTAAGACGAACACGAAATATAGAAAGAAGGAGAAAGTACACAAGAAATAGATAGTCCAAACAACACAAGCAGGTACACGAAACAAAAAGCAAAAATTATAAAAGGCGTAGAACAGAAAAGATAATACGGGATGCGCGCTCGCAAGTCAGATTTCGACTGGTGGCGGTGGATCGGTAAAAATGCGACCGATGTACTAGCGAAATATATCGCCGCCGCTATACTGCAGTTATCGCCTGACTTTGCGTGTGAATTTAATTTTGTTTAGTGTAAATAATGTTTTGTATGATTGTGTGATAAATGAATGTTTTGATATAAAATAAAGTATGTAGTGTTGTTGTGTAGTGTAATTATAATAAAATATTATAATATAAATAAATACATGTGAGTCACCCACAAATACTATTTATTCTTCATTATTCACAAATCTCCATTTATATTTTTTTTAAAACTTATTTTACTCCAAATAAATATCTAAAAATATAACAATAAGTACTTATCTAAAACATATTTTGTTAGCTCAAAGCCAAGCTTAAGATGTACTATGTACAATGACTATGTTAATAGTACAACAGTAGTAACTTATTATAAAAAGCCTCAATAATGTGCTCCATTAATATTAAACATCAATAAACTAGATTTTTGTGATGAGTTCAGTTTTACACACAGATAAAAAGAAACTTTTTTAAATTTATTGACAAAATAATTATGACATAATTACAGACAAAATATTTTAATTACATCGCTACAATAGTGTTGTAATGAGTTAATATTTTACGAATTTGTCATTTCCATTTAAATAGTGCAACAGAATATACAGAACCAAAACATATTAGCACTAATTTAAAATTTGTGGGATTTTTTGTATACTGTGCTATCTCTGCAACAAAATGCTTACTTAAAGAATAGACTCCCAGCCGGCTTGGCAGCAGAAGCAGGCAAAAGGGAATGCCAAAATATAATTATTAGTAAATGGATTTATATTCGTTGAATGTTACTTGATAAGTCTGCTTCTAAAAAACAATTACCACACGCATGTATGAAGACCACAATGAATACGAATGTTTAATAAACACAACATAATTAAAATCACAATGGCACGTAAATTATTTCATTGGAAACTCAATTTATATATCAGTGCCTCTTCATTACTAGACAGTGAGGATATTTCACCCTTTGCCATAGGTTTTGTTGGCTAGCAACACTAAGGAAACAAATTTATACTGTCATTACTACGGATAGTTGGAAATAGGAACTCCACTTTATAGGTTCGTTTTAAGAAATTCATAAATTATTTCCGAAACGTCAACTTGACCTTAAAACTATGACGTCATCGATGCGAAAGCGCGAGAGAGATAGCGAGATGTTTCCACTGGTACAGTCGCCAGCAATTTAAGACTAATTTTGTTATTTAAATTTAATAGTATCGCCTCTTACATTTAGAAGACTGCGCAGAATGTTTATAAAATCATTTTATTCTTTCTCTTGGCACATTATTATAATGATCAGATTGTAGACGATAATTTGATATATTTGAGTCCAGGACAGATTGAATCGAGTTCGAAGCGACATCGCTCTCATTAATTTAATTATTATTTTTCTTGTAGTACCATTAAATATATATTATAAGATCTTTGATGATTAAACGGTAAACAAACATTATTATTAAACACATATTGTAATACAAAATTTCATTTAAAAATTTATTAAAATTAAATTATGCAATTTAACAACGATTTCTTTGCTGTCCGTACTAAATAATATCGGAATGATTTTAATTCGCTTAAAAATCTAGTTTCGTCTCCGTCGCGCGCGCTCAACCGGACGGAGCGGGAAAGGTACAAAATTATTAAGTTTTCATTTTAGTTTTTACTTAGTATTAGATCTTCGTTTTTCTGCCGTTGCTCAGATAAAAATTTAATGACGACATATTCTAAAATGAATAAAATTGTTTATTTTTGCTTTTTGAACATTTCGACGCTTGAAAGGCAAAAGTGACTAAGCGACAATACGTGAGCTTTACAGTAGACTAATTTAAAGTTGAAATTAATTTAAAATATACATGAGAAATACCAGAAAAAAATTATATTTTAACGAATCTAGCTGTAGGATTGAAATGATTTTAATAGACCTAGAAATATATTTTTTTTGCACATCGAATATGGTTATTGCCTATCATTTATGTACAAAGCAGTTATTGTCGCTTAGTCACGTTTGCCGTTCAAGCGTCGATTTCTTTTAGTGATCTCGACATGTAAATGTGACCATGACTTGCGCACTAACAGTAGCGAGTTGCGTGATACAAACATCTAAATGAGGACGCATAAATCGTTCGCAGTTACGTTGTCGTGTTGCTGGCTGCACTCGGTGTACTCGGTGGAGCCGTGCTGATGTCCATGGTCGTGTTCGCCGGTGCTTCGGTGGTCGATGCGTTTACTGCACCGCCCTCGGTCGTTGTAAGTGTACCTGAAGTAAAATTGGATGAACATTTTTATTACTTCATAATTACGTTTTTTTATTGCGTAGATAGATGGACGAGCTCCCAGCCTATTTTGTGTTTCTGAGGCCATAGACAACGTAAATGCGCCACCCACCTTGAGATATAAGTTCTAAGGTCTCAGTATAGTTACAACGGCTGCCCCGTCCTTCAAACCGAAACGCATTGCTGCTTCACGGCAGAAATAGGCAGGGTGGTGGTACCTACCCGTGCGGACTCACAAGAGGTCCTACCACCAGTAAAACCGTTTGATTCGTTGGCTAAGTCTGGTTGACGGGCACTTGGTGCAACCAGCACCAGGTCAACTACACATTCCGGCTGTGGTGGTAGATACCAGGGCTGATGGCCAGCACAAGGTCAGCTACGATCCTGCGTGGGTTGGTGGCGGCGGGGGCCCACCTTGCGTGTAGTCCCGCAGCCAGCGCGCGATGCCGGCGGAGTACTTGCGGATCCAGTGGATGCGCAGCGCCGCCGTGTCCACCAGCTTCTGCAGCGTCTGCGACACCGGCAGCAGCCGCTCCCTGTGCTTCACGGCGAAAGCTTTAAGCTGCAAATTCAGATATTGATTGTGAGAAGGACGGCTTCCACGAACAGGGAGGGGGCATGGTATCAGTAGTTATAAATATTTTAGGAATAGATATAAGTAGAAGGGTTATTTTGATAATATCTTGATAAGCACCCCGAGCTTTTATACAATAAAATCATTTTTTTACACCATTTTTAATTCAAAATTATTAAAATTTATTTGTTTGTTTTTTAAATTATTATTTATTTTTCATTTTTTAGTTGAGTTTCAATATTTTAAATTTTTATTTTAAATATTGAATTGTCACCGGTCCTTAATAAGTATACCAAATTTCGAGTTAATGCGACGTTTTGAAGGGGGTCAAAATCATGTTCAAAGATTCCGATACATACTAACATACATACGTCTTAAGCTAATAAAAGCGTATTAGGAATGTGTCTCGTCTCGCCTCACCCTGGCCAGCTCGTCGTCGGTGGTGATGAAGCCGAAGGCCCCGTTGAGCACGGTGGGCATGATGAAGGAGTCCATGTCGGCGAACCGGGCGTGTATCCGCTCGAAGTGCTGGTAGAAGTACTCCTGCGCCACCCGGGACCCCGCCCCCGGCTCCACGCCCCACGCCGCCGCCGCGTACTGCTTCGGCAGCTCCGACAGACTCTTCTCCAGCAGCCTGCGCGGGTCGCGACGTTAGCCTAGCTACACGCACGCACGCACATGCACGCACACGCACGCACACGCACGCATGCTGGTGGTAGGACCTCTTGTGAATCCGCACGGGTAGGTACCACCACCCCGCCTATTTCTGCCGTGAAGCAGTAATGCGTTTCGGTTTGAAGGGTGGGACAGCCGTTGTAACTATACTGAGACCTTAGAATTTATATCTCAAGGTGGGTGGCGTATTTGCGTTGTAGATGTCTATGGGCTCCAGTAACTACTTAACATCAGGTAGGCTGTAAGCTCGTCCACCCATTTAAGCTATAAAAGAAAATGCCCGCACGCACGCACACGCACTCACGCACGCACACGCACTCACGCACGCACACGCATGCACGCACGCACACTACACGCACGCACGCACACACGTGGCGCTGTCCCGGGACACACTCGCTCGCCCGCCAATAACACCTCAACCGACCTATTCACACTTTAATTAATGATTTTTGTGTAGTCGAGTTTTTTGTTTCATTCAATAATTTATTTTATCCCACATTTTAAAATCATTTGAATAACTTTTTATTTAGTCCATCCTATCTATCTCACCCACACCTACATAGCTTTTGAGGGTAAAAGTAAAGGGGACCAACTCATATTTTTAAAAGGGTCCGCCGAAAGGTAGCCAATTAAGATTGTGCCACAGTAGCAAGTGGAAGCATTTTAGAAATAGCGCCATAAACTACCAGACTTTACTTTCACCCAGCACACTTCAATCTGTTTATAACAGTTATATTCATATGACTTCCGCTTCCTACACTAGCGCTATTTCGGTGAATTTTCGAACTCTAATTTACTGTTCACAGGTGAACACATTTTCAACTTGTCTCTTATGCAAGATGATGCTCCTTAACTCTACCCTCCGTACCTAAAGCGGAGATGAATCTGATGACATCTTTCAAAACCCGTTCAAATGGTGAAGTTGTATTTTTTTTATTGCTTAGATGGGTGGACGAGCTCACAGCCGACCTGGTGTTAAGTGGTTACTGGAGCCCATAGACATCTACGACGTAAATGCGCCGCCACCCTTTGATATAAGTTCTAAGGTCTCAAGTATAGTTACAGCGGCTAAAGGATTGAGTAAGAGTGAGCTAAAGGATTTCCTACATAGCGAAACAGTTCAAGTTTGAGACGGTGAGGTTGTCTGGTGCGAGACAGGAGCAGCAACTTACAGAACGATGAGGTTCTCCTCCCGGGTGCTGGGCAGGTTGTTAATGATGAGCGCCTTGAGGCTGGGGTCGCTGGTGTTGCGGAACACTTCGAACAGGAAGTCGAACTCCTGGCGGCCGCCGTGCCGCAGCGCCATGTTCAGCACCAGCGAGCGGAGGTGGCTCGGGATCCTGCGCCGGGACACTCGTCGTCACATAAAACTATTGCTTGTGCGCACAAATTTACTGGTGGTAGGACCTCTTGTGAGTCCGCACGGGTAGGTACCACCGCCCCTCCTATTTCTGCAGTGAAGAAGTAATGCGTTTCGGTTTGAAGGGTGGGGCAGCCGTTGTGACTATACTGAGACCTTAGAACTATATCTCAAGGTGTGTGGCGCATTTACGTTGTAGATGTCTATGGGTTCCAGTAACCACTTAACACCAGGTAGGCCGTGAGCTCGTCCACACATCTAAGCAATAAAAAAAAATAAAAAAATATCTGGCGGGAGATGAAGACGTGGAGGCTCCGGTGGCTCGGGGGTGTAGTGTGGATGTGGCAAGACCGGGCTGTGAACCGAGCGGCGCCTCGGCGTATGACGGTGCGGTCGTGGTGCGCTTGTCGGGCGTAGCGCTCGTAGTACCAGTAGCGTGCCGAGCGGTACTCACGGGTTGGCGATGCGGCCGTGCTACGCGTGTCGAGCGTAGCGCTCGTAGCACTGGTAGCGTGCCGAGCGGTAATCACGGGATGGCGCTGTGGTTGTGCTGCGCGTACCAGGCGTCAAATTGCGCGCGCCCCAAACGCATGCAGCGCGGCGCCTCGGCGTAGCACTCGTAGCACCAGTAGCGTGCCAAACGGTACTCACGGGATGGCGGTGTGGTCGTTCTGCGCGTACCAGGCGTCGAACTGTGCACGCGCCCAGCGCAGGCAGCGCGGTGACTCGGCGTAGCACTCCCACATCAGCAGGTTTTCGATAAGGAAAGCCTCGTTGTCGTCCTTGGGCTTATCCAGGCCGTAGTTCAGTCTCTCCAGTTGGTTCTTCAGCAGTATCCTTATGAAGTCCTGTTTTCATTCATTTAGTTAGAACTATCGGAATTTCTTCTTAGGTTTAAGCGTAAAATAGATATATCTAGTTTAAAGTATTTTTATAAAATATTTATTAGATGGGTGAACAAGTTCATTGTTCACCTGGTATTAAGTGGTTAGCAGAGCTCATAGACACCACATTCACTACCACCAACTCAGCTTGAGTCAGGAGGTCTGAACAGAGTTTTTTTTTACCATCAGCACAGAGGTCACCAATACTTTAGTTGAAATGAAAGAATGCATAGTAACTTGGAAGTAAGTGTATCCGGCGGTGGTCATCAGGTTGTACTTGAGCGCGGCCATGTTGTTGAGCAGCTGGTCCCACAGCACGCGGCCGGGGCGGGCGGCGGCGCAGGCGGCCAGCTGCAGCGCGTGCGCGTAGTCGAGCTGGGCGGCGCGCGCCAGGTTGAAGGCGTCGTCGACGAGCTGCGCCGCGGCGATGGCGGACCGCAGCCGCCCCTCCCGCAGCGCCGCCGCCAGCAGCTGCCAGTTCCTCTGGTCGTAATTCACGCGGTAGTAGCCTGCACAACAACGAACGGGGTTGGCGGGGTTCGTCCTGGACCACGGACATTGCGGGCCCAAGAAATATAAGCAACTGAAACTTTGTATGATTGAATTGGCAAACGATTAAGACTTTCTGTTTTATACTGCTTAGTGAGGTAGTTGATATTATAATAAATTATATAATGAATTTCGTATTTGGACGCGTTTCCCTACATCTTGTATGTGTTTCACGAGTGCATTATACATATATGTTTGATAATTGTCTGCAGTACACGGTTTTTATATCTATATACTTAGTCTGGCCATAAATACTGTTACAAAGGAAAACAAAAAAAATCTATGGCAAATAACATTTATTACTTTTACAGTGTGTTAGTATAATACATAAATATAAAACAATTTAAAGTATAAAAAGCTTATTCGAAGTGGTCTCCATTAGCTGCAATACAGTCCTTAAAACGTTGAGGCCAGTTATCAATAGAAGCACGCACTCTTTCCATGGGAAAATTTTTCACTGCCAATCTTACGGATTGTTTTAGGGACTCCAAATTATCATGGCGTTTAGAGCAAGCCGTACTCTCTAAAACTGACCATTGAGCTTTGAGCATAAATACGGTTATTTTGTTTGTTAAAATGTTGCTCAATTGTAAAAATTTCTCATCCGTAAACAAAAATTTTCTATGACCTCCCTGTGCGTACCGCTTCAGTAGTTGTTTCGATTTTACCACCCTATTCTCTTTTAAATTATCAGTTAAGAAATGACCAGTACGTCTCTTATAGGCTGCAAGTCCTAAGTCATCTTTTAAAATACGCGACATGGTTCTAGGTGCTATCTTCATCTCCCGAGATAAAATCTTTTGCTTTCGGACAGGATTTCTTCGAATTCTTACCCTTACTACTTTGACCACCTTTTTCGTACGAACACTACGTGGACGGCCAGATCTTTTTCTGTCACAAACAGAGGAGGTCTCATTGCACCTATTAACAGTCCCGTACACAAACATTTTACTAATACCTAGTGTATGGAGAGTTTTAAAAATTGCATTTGGCTCCATACCTACTTTGTGTAATGCAATCACAGCGATTAGGTTCTCTTTATTACCCCACTCCATTTTAATATCGCAAAATATTGTAAAAATTTAATATCGTAAAATATTGTTTTGGCGCCAAAATGAGAAAACTCAATGAGCAGTCATATAAAAATGACAGATTCCAAATTCAAATGTAATATTTTGTTTATTTTTAATTGTAACAGTATTTATGGCCAGACTAAGTATATATAAAAATGAATTGCTGTTTGTTAGTCTCGCTAAAACTCGAGAATGGCTGGACCGATTTGGCTAATTTTGGTCTTGAATTATTTGTGGAAGTCCAGAGAAGGTTTAAAAAGTAGATAACAATGAAAATGCTCGGAATTAAATAAAATAATTTTGTTTTTCCTTTGATGTGTCCCCCATCGGATGGATTCCTTTTGTTTGTTGTAAGTTTATTTTATACAAAAGTTTAGGTCTTTTATTTATCGATTGAGGCACTAGGAAGTCTGCCGGGTCAGCTTGTTAGTAAATATTTATACAAGTAACCACGAAGCCCAGCGTGCTCGTCGGGGTGTCTATGGCCCTTTTACGCACTTAAAACATAACGCAAGCCCTGGAAGCTTGTGGGCGTCTATTGAAAACATATTGTGATTTTAATGTTGACGGTTCGCGTGAAGGAATGCCAATAACCTTCGGAGACGCTGAATTCGAGACATTGTTCGAGGGGGATCCGTGCCAAGCGCAAAACCATCATCAGGTATTAGGAGTTACTCGTCAACCCATTTCCGAGCGATGACATACGATGAGAATAACTTGAGGAAGGCAAAGAAATTAATTATGTTCCTTTTGAGTTTCTAAGAGATATTTCTTTTTTTTTATTGCTTAGATGGATGGACGAGCTCACAACCCACCTGGTGTTAAGTGGTTACTGGAGCCCATAGACATCTACAACAGTAAATGCGTCACCCATCCACCTTGAGATATAAGTTCTAAGATCTCAGTATAGTTACAGCGGCTGCCCCGCCCTTCAAACCGAAACGCATTACTGCTTCACGGCATAAATAGGTAGAGTGGTGGTACCTACCCGGGCGGACTCACAAGAGCTCCTACCACCAGTAAGAATCAGGCATCTGTCAGATATCTTGTGTTCTATGATGACTGCAACCACAGCTATGTACTTATATCAAATCCTTAGTTCCTGTAGTACAGCGAATCCTAATTTGGGGCCAGACGTAGCTCACCTATGGCATCGACGTTCAGGTACAGCGCCTGCGTGGAGTTGTAGGGCACGTTGAAGACGCTGATCCTGTCCTTCAGCCAAGTCTTGGGCTTGGTGCTCCACTCGTCCAGCGGGGCGTCCACGTTCACGTAGCTTATGGGAATGTGCCACAGCTGATCCACCATCGATTGGTAGGGGTCCTTTGCGCTCGTGAACAATCTCTGTTGGGTAAAATGGCTACTAACAATTTTTGTGCTTAAATTCTTTTCTTGAGCTTAGGACGTTGATCAAAGTCGAATTGGCGGTAAACTACAAATCCAAATCAATGAAAGACCATCTTCACTTCATAATTTAATGAACTAATCTCGAGTTTAGTCAGTAATAACATATTTATGATTTTAACGTAATTGAGCCCTTTAATAAAATCTATAAGTTCTAACACTATTTGTACCAATCATAACGCATGACGTCATATGTAAGTAACCGTTGTTTTAGTGTACCCCAGTACTCGCTCAACGATCGAAATTTGACCACAATCACTCCCAAGATTTAGGTTCGTTATAAATATTACATTATTTTTCGATCATCATAAAAAAAAAAGACATAACGCTAAAGCTCGTCAAAAGCTAAAAATCAGTTAGCGAGTAACGTATAGGTAAAATGTACTGCAATTGTTTTTTTTAAGGCAGATACTATTGTGTCGGGTAGCGGTCGGGCGGCGCGTCCCGCGAGTCCGGGCACTTGACCTCATTTTTATTTGTAGTACATTGCGTGCGGTTCAGCCAGTGTAGCTCAAATTTTTGTTACCACTACCATTGCGGCCTTCGTTTTCTCGACCTATTTCAATACACCCTGTATAAGAACTGGCAACGAAAACACACAGCTTGGTGGCCAGTGTATTTCCAGATCAGTACAATTTGACATCGAGGCTTATAAAGGTTCGCCCACACTCTAGAAACATTGGGCCACCCACCTTGAGATATAAGTTCTAAGGTAGTATAGTTACTTAGGTAAGGTAGTATAGTTACTTAGTATAGTTACAACGGCTGCCCCACCTTTCAAACCGAGACGCATTACTGCTTCACGGCAGAAATAGGCAGGGTGGTGGTACCCGTGCCGACTCACAAGAGGTCCTACCACCAGTAATTATGCAAATTATAATTTTTGCGGGTTTGATTTTTATTACACGATGTTATTCCTTCACCGTGGAAGTCAATTGTGAACATTTGTTGAGTACGTATTTCATTAGAAAAATTGGTACCCGCCTGCGGGATTCGAACACCGGTGCATCGCTTCAACACGTATTCACCGGACGTCTTATCCTTTAGGCCACGACGACTTAAAATTGGTTAATTAAAAGTGTAATTGATCAATGAGCACGTCTCATTTTATTTTATTTTATTTTTTTACTAACGATCACGCCACTTTAACTGGTCTCGTACTAAGTTCATAAAGAGCTTGTGTTACATGTACCAGATAACGGAAATAAATGTAAGATTTTTATTATACAGATACATATATATAGTATATATCCATAAACCTGGAAAATACGTTTTATATTTATCATACAAATATCTTTGGTTGGCGGGATTCGAACCCGCGACCCCCTTGTGTAGTGACCTGCTCTATCTCGACGGCGCCGGTGTCGTAGTTCCTGTTGGCGGTGACGACGGGGTAGCCGGCCTGCCGCGTCCAGCTGTTCATGAGCCGCACCACGGACTCGCCGTCCAGCGCGCGCTCCGAGCTCACGGCGCGAGACATGGCCGCCCAGAGGTCGTTCTCCTCCGCGTTGGAGAATTTCCTGCGAACCGTTCATCATCATCATTCCATAGTCCAGTCACTCCATAGTCTCCTTCCATACTCCTCTATCATAAACCATTTCTTCGCTCACAACTTCATTACAAACTAGCGACCCGCCCTCGCTTCGCTTCGGAATCGTTAAATTTTATTATTGATAGTTGAGTCCCGCGATGTTACCCGCGGTTATTGTCGTACCGCGGGTGACGCCGCGGGTCGAAGCTAGTCTAAAAAAAGTAGCCTAAGTTACTCCTTATATAATCAGCTACCTGTCAGTGAAAGTCTTGTCAAAATCGATCCAGCCGTTCCAGAGATTAACCGGAACAAACAGACAGACAGACATACAGAGAAAAATTGTAAAAAATGTTATTTTGGTGTAAGAACCGTATATAATATATTCATATGCATGTTGTAAAAAGCTGTTATTTCAATATCACAAAAAGACACTCCAATTTTATTTATACATATAGACTAGTTTTGCCCGCGACTTTGTCCGCGTAAAATAGTTCATAATAATGCTTTATTTTAGAACAAATTTGGTTAGCATAAAAAACGTTATAATGAGCCAACCTTAACGTACAGACATATGCTGTCGCGGATTTTTTTTAAATCTTTTAAAGGGGAACAATTCTGTCATACATTATTTTAGCGAAACTTTAACTCGAGCTATAGCCTTCCTCGATAAATGTGCTATCTAACACTGAAAGAATTATTCAAATCGGATCAGAAGTTCCTGAGATTAACGCGTTCAAACAAACAAACTCTTCAGCTTTATAATATTCACAAATCTATACAGATTTCGACTTTCATGCAATCCTGCAAAATCCTGAAAACCGTTGTTCTGCCTATAAAATATATAAGACTTTAAATAGAATCACTTAGTTTCTGACCTGCTGGCTTCTAGCAGGAGGATCCGCGCATAAATCCCATGTTTACAGGAGGCTGTTAGAGCTCGTGTCTTACCAAGAACTCACCAGTCGTTCAGATAGATGACCAGCCCCTTGTGGAAGAGTTGCTCGGATATCGTGTGGTTCAACATCCGGATCAAGTTGGAGCCCTTCGTGTACGAGATCTCGTCAAACTTCTGCGATATCTCCGACGCGTCCACCACCTTCTTGGAGACGGGGGACGTGTTCTTCAGCGCGTCCGATCGCAGGAGATCCATCTTATCTCTCGAGAACGACTCAAACATGTTCCACTCCGGTTCGATCTGTCGGCGTGAGAGATAACATGAATTATTTCATGTTGGATGCTGTTGGGACACACACGGACTGGTGACGTGACAAATCGCAGTCACTCAGCCAAAGACAAACGGAACAGACAAGTACATACACTCAACCCCGGTTCCAAGCAGTAATGCGTTTCGGTTTGAAGGGTGGGGCAGCCGTTGTAACTATACTGAGACCTTAGAACTTATATCTCATATTGGGTGACACATTTACGTTGTAAATGTCTATGTACTCCAGTAACCACTTAACACCAGGTGGGCTGTGAGCTCGTCCACCGTTCAAGCTATAAAAAAAAAACATTGTTTTTTTCGATTTCGAACTTCGAACTCTCTAGTGAGAATTTAACCCTGGGTGGAACGTCATTCAGTCAGTCCATCTACCCAGTTCAAATGTCATTGAAGCCGTGAAGCCGCCGGATCGGGTAAACAGACTTTTCGGTCAGTCCGTCAGTCCGTACCTTAGTCAGCTTGATCTAACTAAATCTGTTCAATTCATCAAACCTAACTAAAAGCAGAGTTATCCATGAATGACAGACTTTATATGGGGGCTAGGAGGCAACTTAACATCTGTCACAATAAAAAGATGTGTGGTGTTGTGGGACACCGGATAGGAACGAAGTTCCTTAATATAAAAATATTAATTTAAAGTTCTATTCGAGATATAAAGAAAATAATTATTCGGGTATACATTTTTTATTATGGAGGGTGGCGCATTTACGTTATAGATGTCTATGGGTTCCAGTAACCACTTAACACCAGGTTGGCTGTGAGCTAGTCCTCCCATCTAAGCAATAAATAAAAAAAACACACGGATGACAGAGATCGTACTTAAGGCTCCCAAAAATCATCCCCTCAAATTAATTGTGGTATCAAATTGGTTGTACTTCGATAAATAAATATATGCCGCGGTTTGGTCCGACGAGTTTTAATTGAACACGCGATCGCATCTAGCCATCAACCTTGGTATCAATATCGAATGATAATACCAACACCGGGGGTAACAAATATAATCAGTCAATAGATTCTTTATTAAACAAAAAAGTTAAAATTTAACACAAATCAAATTAAATAAAATAAAAAAAAATCAACATAAATGAAAGTACATAGTCGTTGAACGTCAAAAAGAACTACCGCCAATTCACAAAAACTAGCCTCCGTCCTGAGAAGAATTGGCAAGAAACTCAGCGGGGAATATCTTTTTTCTTCTTTTTTTATTTTTTAATATTAGATAATAAAAAAAAAACATTTTTACAATGAATATTATAACGTAACAATTATTGCAATATTGATATGCCCGGAGCGAGCAACTCATTCCCACTTTGTGCAATCTTCTAGATTATCATTGACTTTATAGTAAGCTTTATTGCACAGATGTTCTTTAATAGTTTGCGATACAATACACTGCGAATTCCGACCCTGTTCATGTAGAATTAGTAGACAGTGAGGTAGAACGCAGAGCCTCCTTGCCACCCTCGGATGCGTTACCACCCGTCACCCCGATGGAAGTTAAAGACTTGATCAAAGACCTACGTCCTCGCAAGGCTCCCGGTTCCGACGGTATATCTAACCGCGTTATTAAACTTCTACCCGTCCAACTCATCGTGATGTTGGCATCTATTTNAAAAAAAAAAAAAAAAAAAAAAAAAAAAAAAAAAAAAAAAAAAAAAAAAAAAAAAAAAAACTGCGAATTCCTTACGTGATCAACTCCAAGGTACTCGATGTATGAAGCGAACCCCTCGTTGAGCCACAGGTCCGTCCACCAGCGCATGGTGACGAGGTTCCCGAACCACTGGTGCGCGAGCTCGTGGGCCACGGACACCGCAACGTTTTGCTTGTCGCGCGGTATCCCTTCCGCTTCGTCGTACAACAAAGACATTTCCCTGGCACCGACAATAGAAACTAACATAAAGACGGGTCAACAGATAGGCGATGAACGAACTCACGGCCCTGATGTTAAGTTATTTCCGGAGCCCATAGACATCAGCAACTTTGAGACACGAGTTTTCAGACATAATTAGACAAAGTGACATAATTATTTTGATTAGAACGCTGAAAAGCATAGAGAGTGGATCTAGAGGACCCGAAATGACTTGTTTAGGGCGATGACGGCTTTGCCCCCTCGCCTGGGTCGGGTATGTAGTTAGCGGCGGCCACAATAGGAGGGTTATCGTGTCGTAATAACCAGTAATGAGGAATGCTGAGTGTCGTGGCCTGGTCTGACAACTTTCTCCTGGATTATCCTGCGCCATTCCTGCCTATCTTCGGCTGTGTGGATAGCAACGTGGACTGAAGTGTTGAGAGTGGAGCGTATCTGGTCCGACCAGCCCATTGGACTTCTGCCTCTGGGTTTTTTTCCACATACTACCTGGACCCACTGCGGTCATCCACAGTGCGTTTCCAGAGGTCTTTTTTGCCACGTACCATCCGGCTATGGAATGAGCTCCCCTCCACGGTGTTTCCCGAGCGCTATGACATGTCCTTCTTCAAACGAGGCTTGTGGAGAGTATTAAGCGGTAGGCAGAGGCTTGGCTCTGCCCTTGGCATTCCCAAAGTCCATGGGCGACGGTAACCACTTACCATCAGGTGGGCCGTGTGCTCATCTGCGTACAAGGGCAATAAAAAAAAGCATACCTGGTCTGTTACCAGTAGCTTCTCTAAATCGTCAAGTAACTATAGTAATTAGGTAAATGTAAATTACCTGAAAGTGATAAGTCCCCAGTTCTCCATGGCCCCGCTGGAAAATTCCGGTATCGCGATCATGTCTAGTTTGTCCAATACGTACGGAACTCCAAAAACATCCTCGTAATAATTGAGCAGTTTCGGTGTGATTCTTAAGGCGTAATTGGCTTTGCTTATCAGTTCCGGCCTTGCCCATATCCGTATTGGCTTCGTTACGTTGTCCATGCTAACGTAACTGGTCTCTAGGGATGTGAAGTCGGACAACACGAAAGCGACAAGGTAAGTCGACATATCCACGGAACGTTCGAAGTGCGTCCATTGCCATTTCGGTGTTTCGGTGCTGTGTGCAAAATTGATATTGATTTGTTCAAATATAATCTTTTAACACCGACTTATATTGTGCGTTAAGTCGCGAGCCGAGCTTAGTGCTATTAAATCTATGTATATATATAAAAATGAATTGCTGTTCGTTATTCTCGCTAAAACTCGAGAACGGCTGGATTGATTTGGCTAATTTTAGTCTTGAATTATTCGTGGAAGTCCAGAGGAGGTTTAAAAGGTAGATTAATATTTTATGAAAATGCTCGGAATTAAATAAAAATAAAAAATTTGTTTTTCCTTTGATGTGTCCCCCATCGGACGGATTCCTTTAGTTTGTTTTAAGTTTATTTTATACAAAAGCTTAGGTCTTTTATTTATCGATTGAGGCACTACGAAGTCTGCCGGGTCAGCTAGTTAAAGTTATAAATTAACTATGTTTTTGATAAGAACAAGGAATTATCATTTAAATAGTGTCAATTCATTCAATGTCAAGTAGACTCATTTTATTTGATAATAGTAATTTTGGTTTTATATTTATTATACAAAATGGGGTCAAGTTCTAGCTTCTTGACCATGTGTGACGAGCGTTTTACATAAGCATATAAGTTTTAATGTAAATAAGATTTTTTTGTGTACATTATTTCTGCATAGCTGGTTTATCATATAAGTCAGGCTCTTTGATAAGTGAGTCTAGAACGTTTTCTACTAGCTGAGATTATCTGGATGGCTGAGCTATCATATTAATGCTATTTGTGGCAAATACTAATTAGTACACCGTTTATTAGAATAATAGGCAATATTTGCTTTTAGCATTATATGCAATTGGCAATATATGGTTTTTGGTAATTTTGCTATATATGCAATTATTTAAAAACATACAATTATTGCCGAAAGTACATAACTTAAAACCACTTCAAATACAGAACATGTAACTAACTACATGTTATGTATTTTTTACTTATAATTAAAAATTCTACAATTTACTTAAGTAAATCAAAATTACACTGCAAGGTATTATCAGTTTGGCAGACCAGACATTTCATCAGTCTCATGATTTTATCAATGAGTTACTGTAAAAAATATTTAGAATTAGTCATTCTCATTCTCTAAATTTCTTTTATCGGTAGCGTATATATAATAAATTACTACCCAATTAAAAGAGAATCTTAAAATTTAGAGTTTCATTTATAAACACAATATCTTAAACAGACAGGAAAATATTTGAATGAGGAAATAAACGACTACTTACATAGGCTCCTGTGTTGCTACCTTCATGTTAGATAAAACAGTTAAATTCTGAGGATGTGCTATACTTATTTCGAATTTGGCTTTGAATGCCGGCTCATCGAAGCAGGGGAACACTGAACGTGCGGAGGTTGGTTCGAACTGAGTTACTCCTAAATATCTAAAATAAGTTACAAAATTAGAACAGAAGAGAAGATGGGTTTTCCATTACAACGTCTATCTATGTAACTGGTGGTATTTCAAGTAAGCTTGTCCAAGCAACTAAATAATAATAAAAAATTAAAATTAAAGTAAGAATTTCGTGATATTATGTGAATCATAGAGGACTGGAACTCTGATCATAATATTTTTTTATTATTATTCCTGAGAGTGTCATTTCGGTTGTAGTGCTTTAAGTTTTACTAGCATATTGAGTAGGTTTAACAGTGTCACTAGTTTTTATTATTTTTGTGTTCAAAAATGGCATTTAGCATAATAATCGAGTCATTAATGTCTCAAATGAGTAAAAAGAGAGGGGAAACTGCTAAATAAGACACACACTATAATAAATAATGTAAAGTACCTGTTCTCATTGTTGCTATCAACATATGTGCTCTTATAGAATCCAGTTAGTGTATTTGTTATATTTCCACTGAATGATAGCTGTAGAGTGTAATCCACACCAGGAGTAAGAGCCGAACCTAATGTCAGTAGCAATCGGTCACCAGTACCAACAGATGTGCCTATTATTTGTACACTGCGTACACTGCTATGTGTTATTTGAGTATCGACTGATATTGGGTTTGCTGTAGTAGTAATTGGAGTAGTAATCATTGGAGTAGTAATAATTGGAGTTGTAGTAATTGGAGTAGTAATCATTGGAGTAGTAATAATTGGAGTTGTAATAATTGGAGCAGTAATAATTGGAGCAGTAGTTTCATTGATAATTTGGGACGGACTTTCAGTAGTTGGTGGTAAATTTGTGGTACTATTGTCAGGTGTTGTTGTATCACTAATACTCTCATTTTGTACATCACGTTTCACCTTGGTGTGTATTGTTTCAACTCTTTCATATATTTGTTCAGTGAGCTTTGAACTATTTATGACCAGTGCTTTGGAATGCAATATTATCTCTTTGACTCTGCGATTCGCTTTTAAGGTGATGTGCACATCTCCACTGAAGTTTGCTTTGTCTAAATCTGCCTTAATTTTGAGACGATAAAAGCTGGGTGTGACTGATGTGGGTAGTCTGAGATCTGGTGATGGTTTATCTGATACCCCAAATGGTTCGGCTTCATTCCAATATTCCGTAGATTTATTTGATATCTGTAACAGTGAAATTTATTTATTGGGCAACAGTGATGTTAATTTTTATCTTAAATTTAACAGTTACAGATCATTTTTCTATAACGAGCGGTAAATAAGGTTCATATATGATTTCAGTTTAAAATTAAAATCTGGTAGTCTTGTTAGAAATTTAAAAACATTAAAATATATGTACCTTTTTTTTTTTGGGATGGGTAGAAATAAAATCTACAGCTTTCAAAAAATTCCATTCTTTGGTATTATTTTTAATATTTTTTTTCTATACTTACAGTTTCTTCAGCTTTTAGTTTGACCGCACAAAATAATATAAGAACTGATCGCAAAAACATTTTGTATGCATCTATTTAAAAAATAAAATTTCTTGTAAAATATCACAGTTGGATAACGTATGGATGTATTTCACTAGTTTGCACAATTTTACCTATTTCTTATGTTAACATTAAAGGGTTAATTAAAAACATTTAAATTTTCAAAATCAATTTGCTAATACCATTATTACAAAAATTCAAGCGAGCCGCAACTTAGTGCTGTCAAACGTTTTAACTGTCATTTTGCAATTGTCAATAAATTTCTTAGGTCTACGCAAACGCCGCGCCGCTCGTCAAGGAAAATGTTTTTACACAAATATAACTTTGTAGTACATAACATAATAAGGAGAGGCTCACGCGAAACTGCGAACTATATCTTTCTCAGTTTCACTACCTAATAATAATAGTTAACATTTAATGTTTAATGTTTACATTAAAATGATAACGACTCAATAACGATATCAAATTTACAAGTTTAGTAGGTACAATTGAGTAAGATAAGAAACCCAATTATCTTTTATTCGATTAATTATCGTATGTTAAAACCCCTTTGTTAAAGTTTAAGTCTTTTCTCAATAAATATTGCCATATTACCATATTTGTGTTGAATAGAGTGACGAGAGACAGAATGTTGTAAATTATAATTCGAGTGCTAAAGGGCGTTCTTGTCAAAGAAAAAAATCAATGATAATTTATTAACTCAAGGTATGATAAGTTACTAACACATGATTAATTTTTTTCTTTATAATCTACCTAATCGAGGGCCCTTAATCTTCTCGAACCAAACATAATAATTCCCACATCCCAAAAAAAATTCATATCAAAAAGTAAACTTTTTGCATTATTGTTTAATATTGTGTAGGTTGAATCGTTAAATTCTGTACCTACTTAAGTTCCTGAGACTTTTTTTTAGGAAGTTCAAGAGCCCATAGTGAAAACAGATTTTAAAATGATTACTTTCGTTTTTTGACATCAGCGATGCAAAGGGTGCATCTAAGTCACGGATGTTATGGATTCTTTTCCACCTAGTTTAAAAACCAATTGTTAAACCATTCTGGTAATATCGCAGAATAGATATGAGAGATACGACTTTTCTCTGCAATGTATAAGGATGCTTTAAGGATGATTTTTTGGTTAGTTAGTATGTTTTACATGTATGTGTGTTTGAAAAGTTCTTGATGATTGAATTTCAAACTTACCGTATAAAAGGTAACGAAATGGGCTATTATTCCTACAATGATAGCTGTTAGAATGGCGAATATAAAGAAAGCTACGCAGATACAGTGGGAAATGAACACCCCTCCTCTTCTCTTGTATTGGATGTCATCGGGAGCTTGCGATTCGAACGCCAAAAACTGGTGACGACTCGATGATAGTGTCATCTTCTCATATCATGCTGTACAAAAAGGTAGATATAGAAATAATTATTAAAATTAAAGAACCTTATTCACCGGTAGGGTGTCTTGTGGTAGGTACCACCATCCCGCCTATTTTTACCGTGAAGCACGTTTAAAGGTTGGTGCAGCCGTTGTACTCTTCGATCAATAATAGGTTGTACTGTAAAAACGGAGACTTAGAACTTAGAACCCATCTTCTCAAGGTGGGTGACGGCATTTACGTTGTTGACCTCTATGGGCTCAGGTAACCACTTAACACCAGGTGGGCTGTGAGCTCATCCACCCATCTTAGCAATAATAATAAAAAAATCATTAAGGCTAAGGTATTTCTTATTGCAATGCTTCAAAATAAAATACTCTTTACATGTTAAAAGCATGATTTGGCATGCCAAGCCTTTTGCAAAATTATTTTGGGTTTACTTTGGGAGACTATTTGTTTAATTTTTTGTCATCGATGACAGACAACAATATAGCACACCCGCTACCGCCGTCTACCGACAATGGCAATGTCAGGGGCACACCGCACAACCAAGCCGCTGTCTGCCGATAACGTCACTACAACGTGCATTTGAAATAAATTATAATTAAACAGCTACACTGTGTTTTGGGACCACCTTAGTGGAGTATCACAAAAAAAGGGTTATTTATTCATGTTTCTTAATAAACACATATGGCATATTAACAATATTCGGTTAATCCTTTACGAATTTTAATGTATGTTAACATAGCCAAAGAAGTCTGTTGTCGTGCTGAAGTTTCAATATCTGCTTTGTGTATATATTTTTCATGAATGAAAAAGCCAGGCAAACTAAGATCACGATAAAAGGTGATATTCCTACGTCTGTTTTTAAAAAAATTAGCCTGCCAAGCTCAGAGTGAAGACGAAGAGTTTGTTTAATATTTAATTTTACTATCTTAACCCGTCACAGTTTACACTACAGTCATTGCTTCAAAATGAAGACACGACAATCTGTGTCCAGACTTGTAATTGCGATTCCGTCCGGTCATCGTTCTCGTCGAACCCGTCGCTTGCGACGAAGGGCTCGGCGAGTAAATTAATCCACAGACACAGCTCACTGAGTTTCTCGCCGGATCTTCTCAGTGGGTCGCGTTTCCGATCCGGTGGTAGATTCTGCGAAGCACGGCCCTTGCTAGGGTTCGTGTTAGCAACAACGTCAGGTTTGAGCCCCGTGAGCTCACCTACTAGTTCGGTGAATCTAAAATGACCCCTCGAGGTTAATGGAATAGGTTGGGCCCCCTCCTGGCTGAGCCTTTGCTCGCCCACCTGTCCTGCTGAAACTGGAAAGGCCTCCGGGCCACCAGTAATCTTTCAATCATAAAGAAAAAAAAATCGATCCCGTGATTCAGCGACACGCGATCATTTCTCATACAAACGCTATTAATGGATGATGCAACGTGACCGTGTGTTTATTAAATGCAAGTGTAGGTATACTGAGCATCTGGTAGTTACAGATTGGTCTCGCCGCGCCGCCCGCCTCCCACCGCGTACACATTTGTGTTCATTATGTTTATTACGCACGTATTGTTTTGTTTGTTACGGTTATGCAATCGTTTTTAATAAGCGCCTTTAAGTATACGTTGGTAATAAAATTACGAACGTCATTATAGGATTTAGATTTAAAAAACTCGTTAGCAAATCCCATCCTCATATTTGAGCCATTGCTGTTGTTACACTTTTAAAAAAAAAACTCAATTTGAACAAAAGGATTATAAATTTGTTGTTATCTATTACCGATTCATGATACCTTTGAATTAATTTAATTACCTACCTAATTTAAATTCACACTTTTTGTGATGTTTAGGTTATAATTGGTATTCATTGAATTTTTAAAGTATATGTTCTACAACTGGCTTTTTAGCTTTAAGACATAGGTTATTTAATCTTTCGCCTACTATGTGTTGTTAGTTGTTGTTATTAGATATTTTAAATAAGTAAATCTTACACTCAATGCTCCCACATACTGCCCACGATTTTGAGGTTAGTGTCAAAATTAATAAAAAAACTAACATGAGAAATTTTAGGGTGGTAAATCTTATTTTTACCTTAAATCAGTAGTACCATACAATTTGAATAGAATTAGTTTAAATTTGATTTTTGCTATTTTTGGGTGTTGTAGGTTAGCTTGCGGTCAATATGATGTTATCAGAATCCAAATAGACTTAACAGACACCGAAGCTTCAATGCTGCTGTCAACTTTAAGACACGGGCCGAAGGTTCAGTTTTATAGATTTATTTATTTAACTATATATGTACCAACAATACGAACATAAAATGTATATAAAATGATAAATATAATAAACATCTTGGCAATTATCCTTCTAGGTGGTTATTTTTATTTTAAATATCGTTTAAGGGCCGGACGGAAAATATATCATAACCATTAAAATTTAATTATATTTAACGAAAGTACATATATATTGGATAAGTTCGTTATTATAAATATTTTCCGTTTCGGGTTGGAATGAAATAAATAGTTATCTGTCAGTCAACTACATAGTCTAATCTAAATAAATTAAAAATAAAATTCGCAAATTAGCATAAAATATACAGAAAATGCTGGCATAGTGATATTTCGTGTCATTGAGAAGACACATCAACCGTACCGTTTCCTTATTTTGTCAATTTCAGCTTCTAAAGATGGCTATTACGTTGACTGCGCGTGAAGCGAGATATAATGACACTTTTGTAACAAAATGTTGTTTCTTAGCATTGCTAGAAGCAGTAGATCGAATTTCTGTATAGCTTGTTATTGTTTTCAAATATGTAAATAGGTACATTGTTTCTGATGTTATTGGCTGCCTCATTAAATGAGCCACTGCTTCGCGAATACCTACGCGTGTTCACAAGATGTTAAATGCAAAACATACAAATGTAATCTAAGCTGTGTTAGTTTGTGAATACGTAGGATAATCAAATCCATTTTTCACCGACTTCAAAAAAGGGAGGAGGTTCTCAATTAGACTTTAATTTTTAATGTGTGTTATGCACAACGTTTTTGTAAGTGAACCAAGTTTGAAGTTTTTTACTTGAAAGTGGTCCCATTTAAATTTTATCAAGATATGTCCGGCAGTTTTTGAGTTATCGTTTTTTTATTGCCTTGCAGGCAGACGAGCACGCGGCCCACCTGATGGTGAGTGGTTACCGTTGCTCATGGACGTCAGCAATTCCAGGAGCAGAGCCAACCCATTGCCTATCGAATTTTTATCTCCGAAATTTTTATCTTCATAAAAAAATTCCGTAATAATGCATTTATAATTGTCTTCTATCATGACATAATGATATTTTTATTGCTATTGGACGACTTCCAGTTTTCGTTTTGTTAAAATTTTGTATTAAGCACAGGTAATATTGGAATCGTAATCAAAGACAGGCTTGCTGGATATTGGGGATAAATCAAACGCGATTTTTTTAATCACTAATCACTATGCCACTGAAGCGATCGCATTAAGAGGAAATTTTACAGATCTATACTGTTTCCCGACAAGCAAGGTAATTTGCAAATGAATGCTCACAAGTCAAACGCAAATTCTAATGACATGTACCTACAAAGAACGTTTGCTGTTCACCGTCTGTCTGAAGGTTACCATCATGGCGACGTAGTTAAGTCAAAACTGACAATAATTTCATATCGCTAGGTTTTGATTTTTTCAATTTTATTTAGGTATATGTGACCACTTGTGATGCGAACTGTTTTTATTTTTATTTTTTTATTGCTTAGATGGGTCGACGAGCTCACAGCTCACCTGGTGGTTACTGGAGCCCATCAATATCTACAACGTAAATGCGCCATTCACCTTGAGATATAAGTTCTAAGGTCTCAGTATAGTTACAACGGCTGCCCCACCGTTCAAACCAAAACGCATTACTGCTTCACGGCAGAAATAGGCGGGGTGGTGGTATCTACCTGTGCGAACTCACAAGAGGTCCTCCCATCAGTAATTACGCAAATTATAATTTTGCGGGTTTGATTTTTATTACACGATGTTATTCCTTTACCGTGGAAGTCAATTGTGATCATTTGTAGAGTACGTATTTCTTTAGAAAAATTGGTACTCTGCGGGATTCGAACACCAGTGTATCGCAAGATACGACTGCACCGGTCGTCTTATCCTTTAGGCCACGACGACGACAATGTTGCGCCACGACGACGACAATGTTGCGCCACGACGACGACAATGTTGCACCGACCCCAGGTGAGTGGGAGAAGGGCAGGAGAATGGTGATGCACTGGCGGTCGTATGTCAGTAGAAAACATGTCTTCTTATGTGACGTACCATCCGGCTTTGGAATGAACTCCCCTTTTCACTGTTTCCTGAGCGCTACGACATGTAATTCCTCGACAAGGTTTTCGGAGAGTACTCAACAATAGGCAGCTGTTTGGCTGTGCCCCTGATAAAGCTGACATCCATGAGTAGCGCTAATCACTCACCATCAGATTTGCCGTGAGAGTTTATTTATATTGGCAATAAAAAAATAGATTAGACGAGCTATAGCTTTATGATGTCGTTTTAGTATAGCAGCACTTTATTTCGTCCCGTGGGCATCGTAAAGGTTAACACCTTGGCTGGGGCGAGTAAAATCATAAACCTTCATCTGTGTGCTTAGTGCGAGTCTTTTAACGTTCTCGATAGCGTAAAAGTTAACCCAGATTTGTATGGAGTTGTTATCCTACCTTTGCCGCTAGGGGCGCTGTCCCATACAAATTTGAGTTAACTATTACGCTATCGAGAACGTTAAAATACTCGTACTAAGCACACCGGTGCGGCGGCAGGTCGAAATGCGCCCCCAACGATATTTCCATCAGTGCGGTTTTTCTCGACACACTAGCACTAAGTCAGATTAAAATGCTAAGCTTTGCGAAATTATACTGTATACAATTAATGGTATATACGGTGTCGAACTTTTACATTTGAAATAATCGGTACGCACCAACGAGAGGGACATAGTTTTCTTCAACCGCACCAGCTGAAAGTATTT